TTTAAATTATATTGGTACGACTCTATACCTAAAACGTCTTTTATTATTGGATAAAATTTTAAAAATTAGTTTTTATCTCAACCATTGAAATGAAATTATTCACAATATAGAAATTTTTGTGACGTTTTATAATGGTGGAAATCCGAAAATGAATCCACTTCAGCTACAGTCTATTGTAAGCTTTATATCGAAAATCAGAACGAACTTTCCGGACAACCTATAATGTTAATACGAAGTGTCAAATGAATGTAACAGAAGTAGTTTATTCCAAATTGTATCACAAGTATATAGAGATAGAGTTCAATTTTGTCAAATGTACCGATATTTTTGCGCACCTTGACTGCTTCGTTACTTATGACGCTGTGGCTGCTACGATATTTATGAGCATCTTGCATGTACTCATATATTTGACGCTGTGTATGTACCGATGTTTTTGAGCAGGGTGAATGTATCTATTATTTTGAGGACTTTTGTTGTACCGATATAATTGATTACTTTTGATGTACCTATATATTTGCATATCTTGTCTGTGACGATCTATATGACGCTGACTGTATATGTTTAAATGTTCTGTAAATTGCTTGGTAATTGTTACAACTTGTGTATTAGTGCATTTGTACATTAGAATATTGTTTAAGAATGTCCTTCTTTTGTTCTTGTGTCTAGTATTTTCCTGTACTTCTGAAGCGTAACATAGAAAAAAAATTGCCATGTTAACATATTCTGTGCCATTACGATTTTTTTTAATAAATGTGACCTCACCATGTGAATTGGTTGCACTGAATATGGGAACAATGGCAACACTTACCTATTTAATTTTATTTTATATGCCATAACTTACTGTGCTGTGTGCTAAAAGACGTTAAAGTAATTTATTTTGTAGAATTTGGCTTGATTCAAATATATTAATATAGAAATTGTGTATAATATAGCAATATATCAAAGAACCGCTGCTCAATTTTGCCATGTTAAATTTATATGCTGATCCAGTTGTTACAAATACAATTCTATATTATTTTATAATATTCGGATGTGTCAAATATCTTTGCCTCTTTTTTATAAACCATAAATTTCTGCTCTGATTTTAGTGAGTGTTACTGCATTCCAATTTAAAAAAATTACTAATTTTTGTAACCAAAAACTTAGAAAACCTATTTATTTATGTCGTAAATTGATATCTGAAATTGTTCTTACGTTTTAAATTTTGTTGGCAGATGATAATGTTTGCCCTGAGCCCCCGAAGTCTCTCAGTAACCATAGAGAGACATGCGCTAAACAACAACTGCAACCAAAATTACCTGAAAAAATACATAATACAAGTGCCCTTAATGGTTCCGCACAAAAATATACACCGGGTATGTTTTTTTTATAATAATTTTAATATCACTAAGAAAAAAATTTTTTCATGCCATAATTTTGTTATGTATAAAACTTGAATTGAAATTTTTATAGTACATTTTTTGTTGTTTGTTATTGAAGTTTATATACTCGGTGTCATAAAATCTCCATAAGAGCAAAATATTACGTAATAAAAACGATTTCTATTTAAGATGTATGAATATATTAATCCGGCATGTCCTCGGAAGGATAGAAAAAATAGATTATAGATTCTTTAGATGGGTGTTTTATAAATTTTAATTTGCATGGTATTCATAATCTTGATATACATGTGGTTTCAAAGTGAAATACATAGTACAAATATAAATTACATATCTTACTAATAAAAACATTGATTATTAATTAAACATAAATTATTTGATTAACAAAATAATTACATTACTTAAAATGGCTATAGATACCTTCCAAAAATGCTAATTTTATATATTTTTATTTAAAGAGTGTTTAGTTTGTTTTAATTTAAAGTTTGTACAGCTATAGCAGTGACCGTGGAGCCTCGTCAATTGGTGTCCAGGCCGGCCAGCCCAACATTGGTCAGCGAGACTAACACTCTTGTCAACGGTGGCGCAGTCCTTGCTGCCGCGTTGCAGAAGAAGATCAACAGGAAGCGGAAAGCAAACTCCCTTGATACTGAGGTTCATATACAAAAAAATAAAATCATCTAATGAAAATTGTGATCTTGTCAGCTGGCCATTCAATGTGTAATGCCAGCTTTGAAAGAGCCTTTAATTCTTAGCTATGCAAATTTTAACTTATTACAAATTTTGCAGGTGATAAAGATCCAAACTTTATAGCTGCTAGCTGTTACTGCTTGTTGCTTTTCTTAGTGTAAATTTAGTATAATAAATCAAGAGTTTTTGAATCCAAAGTTCTCGATTAAAATATATTATTATCTCTGTTTTGTCAAAGATAATGACAGTATGTTTCATATAGAGATTTCGATCTCAGAAACTCGCGGTAACAATGCAAAAGTCCGCTTCAGCAAAAAAAAACATAGGAAAGGTGACGTGATTTCTCCATTTCGTGTAATGATTTAGGAGCCTCCACCCCAAGAATCGTTAGAAGGCGGTACGGAGCAGGCAGCGAGTGGTACAGCCACGCCGACCGCACGGCCACGACAGTCCGGCAGTCTGGTGGCGCACGGCCATGATGACCTCGTCACACGTATGAAGAACATAGAGATGATAGAATTAGGACGACATAGGATACGACCTTGGTACTTCGCACCTTACCCACAGGTCAGTATCAGTCAAAACAACTCTTTATCTCGCTCGCGCAAATAATGACTGTGCTCGCTCTCTCCTCGTCAATTGGACGCCGCATTCACTTGTCGGCAATCATTGCACGCCATTTTCGATTGTCGGCAATCGTTGGACGCCATTTTCGATTATCGGCAACAGTTGGACGCCATGATTTGTGTTACTTAAAAATTCTGTTTGATGATTCAAATAAGACTTACTTGTTACTTTTTCCAGGAAATGGTTAACTTACCTTGTATCTACATATGTGAATTCTGTTTGAAGTACAGAAAAAGTAAAAAGTGCCTTGAGAGACATTTAGTAAGTACTTTATACTCTCTTTCTCTTTCGCACTATCTATTTGTCTCCCTCTTTATGTCAAACTTATTTTCTAGATCAAATGTAAACTGAAACACCCACCGGGTAATGAGATCTACAGAAAGGGAAGTATATCTTTCTTTGAGATCGACGGACGCAAGAACAAATGTTACGCTCAGAACTTGTGCCTGCTCGCCAAACTGTTCCTCGACCACAAGACTTTGTACTACGATACGGATCCATTTTTATTTTATGTTATGACAGAATTTGATGCAAGAGGTTTGTTATATCATAGATTCATTATATTTTTAAGACAATTTTTTTTTTAAAGTGCTTATAATAAAAAAAATCGCTAACATAAAGTATTGAAATTACCAATATGCCATTTAGTTTAGGATTTCTGTATGCAAAAAAAAAAAATTTTTCAGGATTTCACATAGTCGGATATTTTTCAAAAGAAAAGGAGAGTACTGAAGACTACAATGTAGCGTGTATTTTAACTTTACCTCCATACCAAAGGAAGGGGTATGGAAAATTACTTATAGAATTTAGTAAGTTCACTAAAACTTATGGCTATTAATTTTATATCTTATTAATTGATTTAATTTAAAAAAAATCAACAGAATGCGGATAAGATGGACTTTTTAAAGGACTCATAAGAATAGCGTGAACCTGAACATTAAAAAAAACGAAAAAAAAATTAATGTTCCAATTTTTCGTTTTAGGTTATAATTTATCAAAGTTCGAAGGCAAAACGGGTTCTCCAGAGAAGCCATTATCTGACCTCGGTCTGTTGTCGTACCGCAGTTACTGGGCGCAGACCATACTCGATATACTGATGAATGTACCGCCCGTTGCCGATAATGAGAAGCCCATCATTACTATCAAGTAAGTTTAAAAAATTTATGTCGATCGTCAATCAAAAAATAGTATTTTTTTATGAAGATTTTTTTTTTATGGTTAGACTGAACCTGGGATATCTTAACCTATCAGGAGACACGTATATCATAGAGTTTATATATATTTTTTTAATTTAAAGAAATAAATTCATTCCGTTTTAGCGTGTTTAAAGAAAAACGAAAAAGTGCACATAAATAATTTCTTTGTTTTTGAAAATGTATATGATTTTTATTTTTTTATTAAATAAAATTATTTTTTTAGTGAAATTTGTGAAATGACGAGTATAAAGAAAGAGGACGTTATAAGTACACTGCAGAATTTGAATTTAATCAACTATTACAAAGGGCAATACATCATCTCAGTTAATCAGGTAACTGTTATCGTTTACACTTCATATATATATAAAATGTTACATTATCCGTCGATCTGATATTTCTTTTATCGATAAAGGAAATTGTACAGCAACATGAGAAAGCGATGGAGAAAAAATGGCTACGTATCGATCCAGACTGCTTGTATTGGACACCTAAAGATTGGTCAAAACGTGCCAAATGGTAAGAAAATATTATAAATAAGTCTTTACTTCGATATTTTATATTCTGACAATATTATATTAAGGTCATTAAATTATTGCAGCAAATTTTTTTTACTGAAAATTTTTAATGGAATATTTTTTTACTGCAATTATTTTATGGATAAGGAATATTTTATTCTTATTTTATGTTTAAAATGTATTCTTTATTTTTAAGAAATCTTGTTTGACGAAAGTTTCGATGTTTAACCATTGATTTTGTATTTCTTTTGTCACCAGCGTATGAAATGTGTGCAAGATGTGAGCTGTCTTTTGACTTCGAAACATGTAAGCAGTTTGTTCATTTTCTATCTAACATCTTTTGATATCTTCCTTACCTTATTATCTATGGTTATTATTTATAACTAGCTGTCGTCCGAGACTCTGTCTGCGCGGAATTAAAAAAAACCTATGTGTTCTTCCAGACTATTATCTACAACTTCAAATGTATTATTTTAAACCTATTACAATGTTTAAACTATTTTATTTTGCAGGTAGAGAAAAAATCTGCTTCAATGCGTGTTTATTAAACGTGTTAAATTTAAATTTTCGTAATAAAAATAATTTCTTCAAAAATCCCTAAATGTCTTCGTATGTGTTCGTAGATTAGCATCAATTTAGGTAAATTTCTTCAATCAATTTGACTCTCAGTTTTATTACTAATATAGTAATATTGTCTACGTGTTACATAAATTAGAACAAATTGTTTTAAATTTTATTGTGATATTAAAGAATATCGTCGCTGTGAATTTCCTTGTTTTATTTCTTAACCTTAAAATAGAACATAATTATTTAAAAATTCATATCTTAAATTTATTTTGACTCGTACTTTAAATAAATAATTTCAATAGATTCTCAAAACATGTATATATTTAGTAAATAATGGGTGTCGCCCGCGATTCCATACGAGCTGAAAAGAAAACTTTATTAGTCTATGTGTTCTTCCAGACTATGCTCTACATATACGCCAAATTTTATCGAGATCTTTTGAGCCGTTTTGGAGATGCCTTCTAACAAACATTCATCTAAACATTCGCATTTACAATATTAGTAAGATTATCTATCTGAAGACTTTCCCTTTATCGTGGTTTAAGATAAGGATAGGTAATAGGTGTATAGGAATTTAAAATAATTAAATTCAATGCAATACATGATTTATTTTTCAATGGATAAGCGCAGTAATTTTGCTTCGACTGTTCAAAATATTCATATTGAAGAAGCAGGTACAAGTGATGTTCAACACTTACAAAATCTAATTATATAAAATTTATATTAACAACTTTATTAATCATTTCATTTTCAAATACAATAATGTCTTATAATATAAAGACAATGAAATTATTTTAATGAATACAAAATTTAATAAAAAAAAATCTGACATGTACAGATAGAAAAAAAGATATTTAAGATATTGAATTTAAAATAAATATAAGATTTAATTCACTTTTTTTGAACAACATTTTGTGACGAAATACGTTGATAGAAATGTTTGTTAAAGTTATTCTTAATATGGAAGCATTCATAGGTTTAAAAATTATAATTTTATTCCTTTTAAATGATTATTTGATTTGTTAAAAACAAATATTTATTTCCATTTTAAATCATACGCAATTATTATCACAATTACTTGGTAGAAACACAAATAAAATTTAAAATGACTACGTGTCTATGGTTAATACCATCAAAAATGTATCATTCTAAGATAATCTTATTCACAAGATTATTAAGAAGATACCAATTACTTAAAAAATAAAGTTTATACACGAATCAAAAACATAATAACGTAAATGTTAAAAACAATAGCAAAAAATATATATATATATTACATTGTAATAAAGTGTACAAAATAAAATATTCAAACTTTTGTGAGACTTTATCATAAATTAAACGAATATATCAACGGCTAAAATATTGAACAGCAGCCCTAGTTTAGTACCAATTTTGTCAACGACCCTGGCACCACTCTCAAGGCTAATACCAGTCCCACTCACCCTGATGAAGGGCACCTATGGGCTCGAAACTAGTTGCCGACACCGGACATACGTGAGTGTTTTAGCCGTTTTTATATTAGTTTAAAATAATTTATATTTTACAAATTTATTGTAATTTTTTGAATGTGGTCTACAATGATTTCAATATGCTCCTCTGATCATCAGAATCCTCTTGGTATAGTATATTATTGTTCACCAGTCAAACCAGGGGTTCCAGAGATTCAATAACGAACTTCAAAAATGTATAGAACTGACAATAACTTTTGTTAAGTCACGTGATTGTCGCGCGTCACTTTCATACAATTTTGAAGTTCGCTATGAAATCGCTTCAAAGCGAATGCACTTTGTCTAACCCTACTGATTTTTAGAAATATAATGAACAGATGTTGTTGCAGACTCTACTATCGTTTAAACTTATAAAAAAAAATAAAACGTGTCACTTTTGTGTTACATTTCGCAAAGTATTAAAGGAGCATATTTACAATAATTCAATGTAAAAAATATTGATTAAGAAACAAACATGAACAATTACTTGTGCTTAATTAATTTTTGAAGTACACTACTTTATCACAATAACAATATAAAAATAAATGCTTGCGCGACTGGCTGTTTGTCCGTATACAAATGCAGCCAAGAAGACTAGGTTCACTGGTACGCAAAAGGCACTGTCTACAAATCTCAACTGTTTATTATTTTAAAACACTAATTTAGACATATGCATAATAGTACAACTCCAGTTATTATGCAAATTACAATATTTTGTGCTCAGTCGAGAATTATTAAAATATTTTTAATCTATGTCCAAAAATATCGCAGCCCAAAAAGCTTATTCTAAATTGGTAATATTTTACAAAACTATCATTTTAGTAATATGATAAAAGAGCTGTGTAGGCGTAATGGAGGCACTTCTGTTGTTTACATTATAATTTATGAATTATTTAGTGACACTTTGTGCCAATTTCAAATAGTAAGTTATGTTATGTCGTTTTAATGTAAAATACTTAAAAATTAGGTAATTATTTTTATAACAATAATAATCATATCACGATTTAATCTGAGTTAAAGCACCTTAATATCTAAATTATCTTATGTCTAAAAATGTGGAATATTAAATCCTTTTTATATACTTCTGTAACATATAATATACTTTCGGAATTTCAACAGGAGGTATTTCATTGTTTTATATCATTTATTGTACTGGAAGTGAACATTTATGTTTATAGTTACAACTTTATTTGGTGTCTATAAAGACTAGACACTATCGTAACTAATTTGTCATTTCAACTTTCATATAAGTTTTAAACTATTGCACCTTCGATATAATTAATCAGATCTAGTGATAATAAATATTTTGTACAGATCAAAGCAAAATTAAAGAACTTAAAAACGAATACGGTATCATGTTAGACGACTAAATAAAATTTTAAACAATACATCGTCACTTATGCAACTGTTTTACAGTTGAATTGTGTTAAAAGTGACTTGAAAATATTATTTCACAACACATTGGAAATTAAGAACGAATAAATATTATGTGACGTTCGTAGATTATTGAAAAAAAAAATTAAAATCAACTTAAATATAGCACCTACCTCGATTTAAATGGCGATTTGCCCACTGACCTTATTTATACTGCATATTACGTTGTAACATGTTACATGCATTTATGTTGTTCTACACAGTAGACATCATTTACGATTCGAAATAAAACCATTTTAAACTAACAAATATAATGCGTAGCTTAGATTTCTATTTTATTTTACGTAAAATTTATGTGGCGGTGCGTAAACAAAAACAACAAATGTTATTTAAAATATTAAAAAGGACAACGATTATGAAAGGACAATGTCGGTGATATTTCGAATTTTCGTAATTTCTTAAATATATACGTATACACGTCAAAATGAATTTTGGACCCGACGATAAGATGGTAATGGGACAGATAGCTAAACGAGACAACCGTCGTTTAGGCCGTTGGCGATTTTCGTTTGAGCATCTGAGATAGTACCGGGGTATGTGTGGCACGGTTGGGCGGATGACAAATTGTAGTTTACTTCAGACTCGTAGTACTCTGCTTCGTGTTCAATAGGGACGAGCAGGTTGGCTGCTTTAGGCATGTAGCCGTCTGTATTAATGAAGTGTGTATCAGAATTTGGTGGAAGACTGAGAACACTGTCTGGCCGGTTGTAGTCGACGTCTATAACTTGTTGCGTTATATAAGTATTGTCGAGTGAGGAGATTGTATCTATGGAGGAGTCTCCATTGAGTGGTGTGACACATGTGTAACTGGATGCAAGAATATTAGCGGACTCTGGTCTGATGTAAGGCGACTGCGCATCAAAGTTCGCGGGGAATGTCTGAGGTTCGTATGTACGGAGCATGTTGTACTGCGTTGATGGGGAAGTTCTTGCATTGGAGTTGTTGTTCTTGACGCAAGAACCCGCGTGCAGCGATAACATGTCGATGAGTTGCCGTTTTTGAACTTCTAAATCCTGTAAAGGTAATAATTGCACATTAGACTTATAGACAGACAGTGTATTATGAAAATATTCATATATTAAATAGGGTTTCTATGAGCTATATCTAGATTATCTTTAAGTTTAAGGTTTATCAATCACAAAGCCATTACAGTAAAAACAATTTAAAATAATTAACACGTTACCTTTAGCTGCGCTTTGAGGTCTTGGTTTTGGTTCTCCAGAACTTCACTCTCAGTGACAAGGTTGACAGTGCGTTCTCGTTTCTTCATTCTGCACTTTGTCGCCGCTATTTTATTCCGTTCTCTTCTGCGTCGCCTGCGTTCCTCGTCTTCCGGGGTCAGCTGTTGAATAAATAATCTATGAACAAGGGCTCTGACACTCTACTCGTATCTAATTTCTCATCGCACTAACTTTCCATCTGGTAGTTTTGTCACGGACGCAATCGCATTTGCAATGCTGGTGCCTTCTTTGTAAGCCTATAAAACTTCAATAAAGCCGTTGAATTATAATGCATCGATGGTCGCTATAAACTCTGGTTTAGTAACGATTCGCGATCTCGCGTCTCTGAGTTCCTGGTAGCTTAATGGTTGGTACAGTTTATATGAATGCCGTATTGTGAATATAATTTATGCCTAACGTTTGCATCACAAGTGATCGTGATTATGAAAAGACAGGAAGTTCACTTTTCATTTGGTTACAGATTGTTATAAACTAACTTGTGCGAAAATTGATCTACTAAGATTGATTGTTAAATGCTTCAAAATGTAACAAAAAAAATCTATCTATATGTACAGTCAGCTGCAGAAATATGTATTAATTTAAAAACATTACAAACTTGTATAGGCCTTTAGTTTAAAAAAAAACTTATGTATGTCGTCAACAACTAATTCATGGTTAGAAGCGTACGGATACATACGTGCATTAATATTTTTGAAACAGAAGGCTTGTACAAGTTTCCGAAGCTTTCTAAATGTATACTTATTTATGCTGCTGACTGTACTTTCAAAATACGTTACAAAAATTATCACAAGTAATTGTGATTAAGTTTAATTTTAATAATTAACAAGACATTACCCCTTCGTTTTTGACGGTGTGCGTATGACTGCTATCATAGTCGTCATCGCTGTCCTCCTTCTTGAAGCGCTTGAGGCCACCGTCAGTATCGCTACCGGACATCTTGCGCTTCGACTCGATTGACAACTTCAACCCGGCCTTGATCAGATCCGAACAAGTCTGGAATAAAATTTTATCAGGTATAAATATAACTATCGAATAAAA